GCCGCCCCCTGGCGGCCCCCCGGGCGCGCTCCGTGGGCCGCAGCCCCACGGCGGGTAACCCCACGGCTGCAGCCCCACGGGCGCAGCCCGGGTGTCCCTGCGCAAGGGGCGCTGAGGGAGACACGCCTGGAGTCTAGTGCTGCTCTAAGGGGGACACTGTTCCCTCAAACGCAGTTCTGGCGGGGTCCCGCTGGCCGTGTGCACGCGATGCGTTTGACGGAGACCCTCTAGGAGGGAGCAACCCGTCCGTGCCTGGCTGCAAGGCGCCGGGTGCGCACCATGGCACAGCAAAGGTTCAAACTCAGGCTGCTCTATGTGGCCTCTGGGCCAGCAACCTCTGCGATGCGCAAGTCTGCCCCAAAGACCCACTTCCCCGTACACCAAAACAAGGAGTAGTCTCGGTTAAAGGGCACAAGGGGCAGGGAAGGGTGGCCAACAGCTGTCACTTTCTCTGCAGTCTCCCAGCGCGGTAACCTTGAGCCGGTGCCGTGGGAGTTTCCTCTGCGAGCTAATCTCCAGGGCAGCGCCAGCGAGTTCATGAACCTGCGATCATTTTGAAGGGGGCAGGTTTCCTTCCTTGTTGCCAAGCAAGGAAATGGGTTCCTGATGATGAGTTCATATGAATGCCTGGCAGCTTTTCACAAATACACCCTGAAGGATCCCCAAGCCCCAAACAGCTAAATGGGTTGGATCCCATTAATCTAGCCAGGAACAAGCAGAGCGAAAATGGGCAGAGGCAACGTGACTGTGTCCCTCTTTGTGGACTGGTGCAAATACAGTTGGAGTGCGGTCACACTGACCGAATGTGCTACAGTGGCCTCCTGGGGAACCTCACAACATGTTTCTGGGTGATTCACACTGGTGTCAGGGCATGAGGTGGCCTTGGCCAAGCTTTAGAGCAGTAGATTAGTGCTGAAAGGAACGGTGAGACCACCCTAACCCAACACCTCTTCCTATGGCAACCATGTCTGACCTGAAAAGCAACCACAGCAAATACACAGCAGTGCCCACACACACACAAGGGCTTATGCAGAGCTGCTCCTGAGGGCTTCTCCCGGCATTTGTGGGAGAACAGCCCCAGTCTCTGAGCCAGGGGTCCCAACAAATGTCCATGATCTCACCTAGTGTCTCACCCTCCTGCATGCAAGACCTTCCACTCCTCTGAAGACTAGCTGCAAGTGCTCATGTCAAGTGTGCTGCTTAAGCTGAGCTTTATCAGCCTGGCATATAAGCAGGGCTGGTGGCTCCAGTTATTGCTAAGGCTGCCTGGCCTTTCCCGTTATATGGCCCTATTTGCTTATTACTTTACAAGCACTGATAGGGCAGGTGGAATATTCCCTTGCTGGGTGCTTGCTCCTTGGGCTGATTTTAAGCTGAAAAACATCAGCCAAAATAGTTATGCTGTGTCTGAGAAAAAGGCTTGAGGAGGAAGAGTGTTATGTATTATATAATAATAATAATGTAAAGAAATGAAGCTGATGATGCTTCCTGAGAACATATTTCTGGCCCAGAGCCTTGCAGTGGCACTGGGGTCTTGTCTTTTCAGGCCTGCTCCTTCTCCTGTGAGTGGTGTAGGAAAGGTCAGGGGAAAAAGGGTGCTGGGACATGGGTGAATAGTGGTGGCAGGGAAAGCAGGGTGCTCCTTACTTTCACAGGAGAAAAAAAAAAGAAACACAGCAGCAAGATAACGAAGCTGAGAGCTGCTCTGTTCCTTAAGACCCAGCCTGCCTCAGGGAGCAGCAAACCACAGGAAAGCTGTTCCACTGGAGCAGGCCAGCAGTCTTGTCCACTGTACCGCACTCCAGCAGGTCCCCAGTGAGGGAGGAGTGTGCAAGCACAGGCCAGCATGCCCTGACATTGG